GGTAAATTTCCGGGCACAGGCAAGAGTTATATAGGTCAGCATTTCCAAAAGATGAATAATAATGTATTATGTGTAGTGCCTACCAACCGACAATTACAAGAAATACAAGATAAAGGAATAGAAGCAACAACATATAACAAGTTTTTTAGCATTGCCGTTCATGAAGATGTCGGAGAGAAATTACCAATTTATGATTATTCGCCTTATGATGTAATAGTGTTTGATGAGATTTATATGTTGAATTTATACACTTTGAATAAAGTTTGGCAGTTTATGGAAAACAACACTCATATTATCAGAATTGCTACTGGCGACGTGAAACAATTAGAAGGGGTGGAAACCATGACAAACTGCCAAAACCCCGCAACATACATTGACAACTGTATAGACACAATGTTTAAATATAATATTTTCTTAAACATATGTAAGAGAGTAGGAGCAAAGGACAGCGTAGAAGGAGAAAGAAACAGAAAAATATTAAATGATATGTATAATGACTGGTGGGAAAACAACATTCCACGCAAAGAGTTTATACTTAAATACAGTTATTTAACCGATGACATCATGGCATCAGAGCATAATATCGCTTATACCAATATGAGATGCGAACATGTAGCAAATGAGATTAGAGACAGACTAAACATAAGTGAGACATATGTAGTGGGTGATATTTTGGTTGCCAGAACATGGATTAAACGACCAAGGGTTAATATCAATTTGAGATACAGGATTACAAAGATAGAAGATGATGAAACAGGAAAACAAATAACATTACGGAATATAGCAAGACAAGAAGATGAGTTTATGTTGTCTGAACCTATTGTAGATAAAAACTTCATCTATCCTTACTGTGCTACTTGTCATTCAAGTCAGGGGTCAAGCGTAAAGGAAAGCATAACTATTCACGAATGGGACTTACCCATAACCAGCAGAGAGTGGATATGGACGGCATTGACTCGCTGTGTTGATTTTAGGAAAGTTAAATTTTATTGTAATCCAGACTTTGATAAGCAAATGGATAAAAATATGATAATGAGATATTTTAAAAACAAAGTAGAAAATTATAAGATACAAGACCGTCGTGCTCAAAGAGAAATTAATGAGGAAGAATACATTAGTGCTGAATGGTGTTTATCACAGTTTCGCGCCAGATGCCAAAAGTGTAATACTTCATTTAACTTTGAAACAAAGAAAGGTAAATTATGTAGTAATTTTACTTGTCAGCGCCTTGATAATTCAATCGCTCACCATATAGATAATTCAACTTCATTCTGTGTATATTGTAATGTATCAACACATTAAGATTTTAATATTTGTTATATTAAAATCTTAGTTTTAGACTAAAAAAGGTTTAAAGAAATAATACCTATAAATAGTAGAGAGTAATTAAGGAACAAGAAGTAAATAATTATATCAATAAGAAATGCTATGACTGTTGCCACTTCAAAAAAGAACATATGGAATTATACAAAATGAATTTACCTAATGGAATAGTAAATAATATAATTGATTATGCTTTGGACGAACAAAATTGTAAAATTTGTAAACATTGGAGGTTTTATCAATAATTAATCAAATGTCATTTGAACCATAAAATGTTTCTTAAAACAAATGTTGAAGATGAAATTTTGATATTTTTAACTGTGTATGAAAGACCACCTTATAGTTATGTTAGAGCATTTCTTAAAATCAGTAAGAAAAAGTATGAACTGATTAACCACATATTATGGATCTTGTTATATCGTAGAAGAGAAGGGTTTGATGTAAAAGAAGACATTAAATCATATATTGAAAGCAACAAGTTTAATGTGAAAAATACCGTGAGGGACATTAATATTATTTTGAAAATGATGTATGAAAGAGGTAAGATGTATCAACAGTTTAATAGTCATCAATTAACTTATTATCCTGAATTTAAATTACAAATATTATTATCAATATAATAAATCTTAATTTATTATATGGATAAACAAAAATAATTAGTGATATTTATTATGATAAAAGCGGATACGGAAGTAAAGCAATAACGTTGAAAGATGCCAGACAGAAAGATAAAACTATTACTATGAGTGATGTAAATGAATTCTTTAAAAGTAATATTGAAGAGAAAAGAAAACCAAGAGGGCAAACTAGTTTTGTTGCGCCACACTCATTCTGGGAATTTCAACTGGATTTGTTTTTTATTTCTAAAAATGATTTGGAAAATCAGAAGTTTAGAATTGGATTAATATTGATTGATATATTTAGTAAATATGCTACTGTAATACCTATTGCAAGTAAGCAACCGCCAGACGTATTAGCAGGAATAATGGAGGGTATTAAGAAAATGGGTGGAAAACTCAAAATGATATACAGCGACGAAGAAGGCAGTTTGTTTAGTTCTACCATTACAGATTATCTTGATGAGGAAAAAATTGAATTACACACCACGAGAGGCCATCCGGCATTTGGAGAAAGATTTATTAGAACCTTTAAGGATATGCTTTTTAAAAGAGTTGATGCGGATGAAAAGAAAGGTAAAGACAATATACAATGGATAGATTCCAATTTAGAAATATTATTGACATATAATAATACATTAGTAAGTTCCGTTACGAAAATGACACCATTAGAAGCAAGGAAAAAGAAAAATGAGTTTGAGGTTAAGCTGAATATATCAATGAATGCCAGAAAAACCCGTGTGTATCCTGATTTAGATGTAGGGGACAAAGTCAAGATAATGAGAAAGAAAGCGATTAGCGAGAAAGAGAGAACCAGTCATTGGTTAAGGACAGTCCATACAATAACTAAAACAGAAACTAAGTTAGGGCAGAAATATTATTCTGTTAGTGATTTTCCTAAACCCTTATTGAGGCATGAGATGTTGAAATTATAGTTTTAGACTAAAAAGGTTTAAAGAAATAATACCTATGTATAGTAGAGTGTAATGAACGAACAAGAAGTAAATAATTATATAAATAAGAAATGCTATGACTGTTGCCATTTCAACAAAGAGAATATGGAATTATACAAATTGAATTTACCTAATGGAATAGTAAATAATATAATTGATTATGCTTTGGGTAAAGAAGATGAATGTAAAATTTGTAAAAAATGGAGGTTTTATCAAGAATTAATCAAATGTCATTTGAACCATAAAAGGTTTCTTAAAACAAATGTTGAAGATGACATTATAATATTTTTAACTGTGTATGAAAGACCACCTTATAGTTATGTTAGAGCATTTCTTAAAATCAGTAAGAAAAAGTATGACATGATTAACAGTGTATTATGGATGTTGTTATATCACAGAAGAGAAGGGTTTGATGTAAAAGAAGACATTAAATCATATATTGAAAGCAAACAGGTTAATGTGAAAAATACCGTGAGGGACATTAATATTATTTTGAAAATGATGTATGAAAGAGGTAAGATGTATCAACAATTTAATAGTCATCAATCAAAGTATTATCCTCAACTTAAATTATAGAATAACCCCATAAACCTTACAAAAAAATTAAATTGTAAGATTTATGTTTTGGTATGGTTGATAGGTTGCTTTGTATTTTATTTGTCCGTTTCTTGTTAGGGTTTTTGTAATTGTCTATTGTATGGTCGGTTGTTTGGTTTTTTGTGTGGTTTGTTGTTTGGCGGTTTTTTCTATGAGGGTCTTGCCCCAGAGCAAACATATTATTTGTGTCTAAAACTATTTAAAGGGATGATGCCTTACCATGTAAGGGTTATGGATAAGACATATTGCTCGGGTTGTCAAAGAAATAGGCGTGTGGAATTTTTCACGGAACCCTACAAAAATTGCGACAAGTGCCGTGAGAAGGGAAGGAACAAATGGCATCGCCAAACAGTAGAACGAAGGGATGAAGTAAATGAAAGGAGGAGAGAAAACAGGAAAAGCGAAGAAGTAAAAGCAAGGGAAAAAGCATACAAAAAAAAAAACTTATCCTTGTGATGTTTGTAATTGTGAAGTCAGAACATGCAACAAAGCAAGACATGAAAAAAATGATAAGCATAAAGATAAATTGGAAGCGAAAGAACCTCACACTCAGTAAATAATATTTCATAATGTTTTCATATATTATGAATTATTTTTGAATTTTTGATATACTGGTGGGCTGATTTGATTTTATGAGATTTATTGTTAGTTATGGGCGGTGCGTTTGAAATGGCAGGATTTATGCCAAATGTTGTTGGTTTTGCGGGGCGCTTTTGAAATGGCGTGAACACCATAGGGTGGAGTGTATGATATTTTGCTTGTTGGTAAGCTATTGCTTGCTGGTATAGCCCTATTTTGAGACACATCCAAAAATGGGTCTGGCTCTTTTTCTTAAGGAAGCCCGTTTTTTGGGGTGGCTCTTGAAGGGAAACTGAAGAAACCAAAAGGATGACGACCAATTTGGCGGGTCCGATTCCTATTTTGAGAGATACCCATATGTTTTGAAGGGAATCTGCCGCTATTGGAAATGTGACGATGTTTTCCAGAAAACTTGGGGAAATGGAGTGAACCCGCTTGGTTAGCAGGCTGTTTCAGAGGGGACTGTTGTTTTTGGCCCGAGGTCTATCAAGAGCCTTGGGCAAGGGGTAGGATGTTGAAATTGGGACAATCCTGGCTAAAACCCATTCAGATATTCCCCAAGCGCGGGTCCGGGGACATCCTGCTATTTTTTCGTTTGGCCTTTTGATTTGTGCGTCTCTCTAAATCAATGAGCCCTCACCTCCTGGGGTGGCTGCCCTTTTGAATTCACTTTTCAATCGCCCCAAAAAGGGTAGCCACCTCCTTATGCAGTACACGTTGATAGATGCAGGCTACCCTCGCAAAACAACACACGCACACACACACAAACACCATGCAGTATGATACCGCCTGAGACATCAAAGTGGAGGGCGCCAAGCAAAACAAGACACATCAGGATAAAACATGCGTGTTTTCCGCTTTGCTGTGTGGCATTGACCACCACGGGCCTGGCTCACTCCTAGGGGCCTTGCCTTGCTCGCCCCTATTCGAGGTGCTTGCGGCCGCGGAGGAAGGCCTGGCCAGTTGGGCAGCGGCGGTTGGTTGAGGCCTAACCTCATTGAAGGCGGGGACCAAAGGAGGTTGGTTGCTCAAAGAAGAAACATGTTCAAGCGAACAATTCACCCAACTTTGGCATGGTAGGTTGCCATTCCAGCTGATTTGGGAGTTTGGGATTGGCCAGGGCTGAAACTAAGCTTGCATACTGTTGTCCAAACAGGCATAATGTCAACCCAAGATTGCGGAGGCTGATGACGAAGACTCACAAGCCATTCAATCCCCGAATCCCAAGAATCATGAGACCTGTGCCAGGTTGTACCTGTGGAGAAGATAGTTGATATAGGTGTCAATTTTCGCAGGTGACTATATGACTACAGTAGATTGGTGTGAATACATATCAGATTTCAGAGACAACTTCCTAGAAGAGAAGCAACCATGTTTTATTCTAGAAAGGGCTCCTGCCCTTCTGGTGGTTGAAAGCAAAGGGCACCGGCCATGTAAACACGGCTCACACGGACGGCATGTCTCATATGTAGCGGGGTCGACGTCGTGCGGCGACAGTTGGGTCTGGGACAAAAGCTCCTTCTCCTTTTACAAGCCAAACAGGAAAAAGAAAAAGGAAACCACAAAGAATGGACGCTTAGTATCTGACAGATAGCCGGTTTCCCTTGAAACACGGGTTGGCTTGCAAAATGAGATTGTTGCTGGGTCCTAAACTGCCTTCCAGAAAGAGATCGCGCTTTGGCCAAAAAGGGGCCAGGCCAAGTGGGTAAGAGGCAAACCCCCATCAAACAGACCCGTGCAAGAAGAGCCAAGAGTTCGCTTGTTCAGCACATTATTTCAACAAGCTTATGTGGGGGTAAAATGAGCTCACCCATGATGAGGGTCCTTCACCGGACCGGTAGACTGGGGGGGGTTCCCTGATATCCGCTAGGACTTGCGCCATTTCGCCCAGATAGCTTTTAGCGATGCCTGGCTTCGTTTTGTCAAACTGGAAGTGGCAACCGTGAGGCTTTGAGCTGCGGGCTTCGCCCGGTGAGGCGCGGCAGCCGAGAGCGGACTGCTTGGCATGGAAACGGGGCCAGTCACCCGTCTGGGGCATTCGGATTGGGCTCCTTGTAAAGTACTCTTTTTTGATGAAAAACAACGGCTGGGCAGACTGGCATAGTCGAGGTGGCAGGTGTTTGTGCCAGACAACAAGTCTCAGCAGATGGAACATTCCCCTAAGATTCCCAACTTCCCCCAAGATCCCCCAACGCTGCCAGCATTCCCGAAAGCCCCCAACACCCCTCTAACATCCCCTGACCCCCCAAGGCCCCCCGAACTCCCCCAAGAATGGTTGTAAGCCACCTTTGGGTTGCTTAAAACCAGGTTACAAACGACGCCCCCTTCAAGGCATAATGACCTAATGACTCGGTGCAATGGTCCATTTCGCATCCTCCTAATTTCCATCAAAATGGTAGCAACGTTGGCTCAAAAAGAGACGGGCACCCACCCTCAACTCGTAGAGAAAGACCACAAGATCTGTGCCCTGAAACTTGAGATTTCCACATGTGGAGAACCTTCGCAAGTGATCTTTGCTCTAAGGTTACCAGTAGTGCGTCCACCAGTGCGTCCACCAGTGGGTCGGGTCTCGAACTCACTGAGGGCGATGCGGCCGCCTTCCGATGGCTCAAGGCCGTGCCCGGCATGACCCAGGCGAGGGCTCCGAGGGCGCGCCGCTTTTGTCCCAACGACAACAAAATTTTAAAAACAAACAAAATGCAACGCCGGAGGTTCCAAACAAAATCCGCAACACCCAGGTGTCCGCAACAGCGGAATCCTCTCTGAGGCCCGAGTCTGCTCACCCAGGAGCCTGGGCAGAGACCCCGAAGCTTCCAGCTGTTGGGGAACAACCGGAGAAGATCTGCAATCGTGCACCCCTCAAATACGTTCTGCAGCAAGTGATCAAGGCACCTATTGGGCCTGTCTGTCCGTCCATCCATCCATCCCTCCCATCCCATCCCATCCCATCCCATCCCATCCCATCCCATCCCATCCCATCCCATCCCATCCCATCCCATCCCATCCCATCCCATCCCATCCCATCCCATCCCATCCCATCCCATCCCATCCCATCCCATCCCAATCATCCATCCATCCAGGCCATGGCCAACATTTCATGGGTTGCATAGGTTCATTGGGGTTGAACAGCGTTTTTTTCCTTCTCCTGCGCAGGGCTCATTTTTCCAGGAAGGTATCCCACATGCATTCTGCAGCTTTCAGGAGAAGGCTGCTCGAGCGCCAAGGCCTCAGCCGGAGAGGTTTCGCCGCCGTGAAGTAGGTGTTCCATGTGCTGAAGAGTTTTCTTTCTGATTTCCCCTGTTGTTTGCAAAGGTAACCTATCACTACTGGACGTACTTCTATTTTTTTTGCCAGGGGACGAAGAAGCAACACGGTGAACGAGGGGATTGGTGGTGCAAGCAGCAAACGGTTCTCATTCCGTGAAGGTCTGCCTGTTTTAAGGCACATCGTTTCCCCATGTGGCACGAGAGGCTGGATTTCCCCAGCCCCAACGGGGCATCAGTGACCGGCGCGGAAACCTGGTCCTTGAATTCTAAATGCTTGGATAATTTTTGCAGCTGCTCCAAGTGGCTCGTGCTTGGCTGCTGACCCTCTCCCTGAGTCCGTCAAAGCAACACATTGCGAGGCAGAAACTGAAGTGTTGTTGTTTTCCATTGTGATCCTCCACCTCCCGGGCTGAGTTGGTTCCGCGCATCATGCATTTCAAGATAAGGACATGACACCATCCAGATTGGATGCTGCATATAGGGGTGGAGTTTACTCTGTATTTTACCCACTCTCCCCGTGAGCCCGATTGAGCATTTCGAGAAAGGTCAATCCAAGCAGCATGCTGCAGATTGCTCGAGATGAGTACCCGGTCTTGCTGGGGCGCTAACAAAACGTAAATGTGTGCGGAAGAAGGAGACTTGCATTTTTGTCTCCATGAACTAGTTCAACTTACGAATCACATTTCGCCCCTTGTATTCTGCCTCAACTCCGTGCTCTCAGCTGCATCCTCCCTTTCTCAGCAACATCCCCTCCGCCTCCCTCCCACATGAATTACGAAGGCAGGTTTTCTTTCAAGCACCAGCTCCTTAAAATCTTTCCTCCAAGCGCCACACAAAGCTGCTTGCCTCCAAACGCCGGGAAGAGCTTTGGTTCCAGTTGCCGTTGGCTAGGTCTTCCCTTCAAGTAATCAAGGGCACTTTTTAGACAGCCAGAAAGGGCTCCACATGTGTTCTACTTCCTGCCTCTCTTGCAAGGCTACATGCGCAGATCTTTGGCGCCTCTTTGTCCCGAGGCTCGGGGCTGCCAAGAACAACGGCTTTTGCACCTCGATGCAGGGGCCTGGGCCTCAGGAAGGCACCTGGATGGCCAGCCCGCGAATGGGAAACGGCTCACCGCCAGGAAGACGCGGCTGCCACCGTCCTTGCAAGGCACAACTTGCAACAAATTCGCCTCCTGTCAAGATGAAGTTTGACAATTTCGGAGAGAGAAACAAGTGACTCCGTGGAAGGTAGGGATTGAGGAAGATGTTGGGCAGAACTGGGGAGATGTGGCGATCAGCTAGGGGACTCTTCTCGCAAGCATGAGCTTTGATTGCATACGGCTTGCTGGCTTCACCACGCCCTTACAAGAATCGAAGCTGGCCTATGGTTTACTTCTACCCGGGCCTCTGACAGGGTGAAGGGGCAACCTATCAGAGATATTTGGACTTGCTGCTCACTTTGTAGCTGGCTCCGTAGTTTCTCTTGGTTCCCTCATGATTTCTCCTTGGCTCCCTTAAATTTCTCTCTGTGGACATTCCTATCTCCCTTTGCCCAGGGTCGAAGCGGAAGCAATGCTGCTCTTCAGGAGGCGGGCTTGCCCTGCGCATGGCGCACGAGTTGCGTGTGGTGAACAACCAAAGGTTGATTGAACCGATCACCAGTGAGCAGAACATTGAACTGGTCGAGTGTAGTACTCGTACAACCAGATATGGGCTGTTTGATTCTTTAGCAACATACCACACCACCTTAAAGTTACTTTGTGAATTGAGTTAAATACATATAGAAGTAGCCTGTCATTGTTGCCAGTGGACATGCGCATGATGCATGCAACTAGGCAAACTCCCGATCCCTTTCCCGCTTTGCGCATGAGTGGAGATGTGGCATCACGCACACAC